ACACGCCCAGCACATCGTCCCCACCCACCACCATTAAATTATAACAACCTATGTTCCTACCTCGGTATAAGTTTGCCATGAACTCTGTTGATTTTGTATTGTGATATTGTTGATTATGCTGTAAATAGACTAAGCTTTGTTGAATGTGATAAAATATTTTTAAAATTAGTATGGATTTTTATGTTTGACCACTAAAAAAAGATTAAACTGGTGCTTTGGAGAATGATAGTGTCATTGGTGAATGGTGAGGCAGCTAGCAAGCCTGCTAGCAAATAATGTCGAGAAGTAGACAAGAATGATAGCCATACTGTAAGCAACATTTCTAGGTACCTATATAAAGGATTTTCACAAATATGTTCAATGTTTCTCTTTCTCAATATTTAAATAGGATCACAGTAGGTATATTTAAGCAAGATTTCAAAAACTCTCCTCACCATTGATCCAAAAATAGCTACATCCTAGCTTTTAGATGCTTTATCTAGCACTTGCAAACATGTGAGTAAAAGCAGCATACAACGGGCTTACAGAGAGTTCATCGATCAAACTGTCTATACGCCAGAAAGAGTTTGTAGACCTAAAACCCACGATAAATTGAGGAGGAAATATTCCTAGAACTAGGTTTTCTCCACCTATATTATACCTACCTAACAAGTATTTTATGATGCCTACTCTATCACAGGTCCATGAATTGGTATAAGTTTGGAATACCTATAGTATCTTATCTTCTACTCATGCTCATACCATATTCGTAACATTTTAGTATGTGACACAAATAATAAATTAAACTCATAGTAAGTACATTAGTGCCAAAATGGAGAATTATTCGGAGAAATATTTAAAAGCTTCGTGTTCCTTCTTGCAATCAAAGAAAATAAATACGAAATTGGTTTCCGAATAAGGAAATAAATACAATGATATCCTAGAATAACCCATTTCCATTAGGCTTTTTACGTTATCAGTATAAATTCTTACTACTTATTATTAAACACTTGGATCAGTTTTACTTTACCCTTGTCAGAGTTGCCTATCAGAAAAAATAATTACATAATCACACGATATTGCGAGCAACCATCGCACGCATAATAGTTTTTGCTACGATAGGTAGTGGTTATCGGGATTTTGGCGAGTCACGTCATTATCGTTACGTAACGTTATTTTGCGAGTTTAATTAAACTACCTATATTGTCGGAAATTAATAATTCACCATTTTAGTTTATCTCACGCTTGTTAAGTGGATTCAAACGTACGCGTGCTCTACGTGGGCTCTACACGTGTTTTACGTGTGTGAATTCGTGGACTGCGCGGGTGACTTTGTAGGTAAGACGCGTAGGCTGAAATCACACGTTACGTCCGTTGCGTGACGCATGTTTTAGGAAAATGCGAATTTCCACCTTATTTTCGTACAAAACCGGTTTATGTCAAACGGTTTGACAGACGCATCAGTCGATGCAGCGTTCAGCGCTTGACATCAACCGTATTCGAATGAAAATAAGGTAGAAAATCGATAGCACCGCCAAAAATTACACGAAAATAGACTTTATGTGTGTTTCTCGCCTTAGTACAAAACTACAAACAAAGACGCATTTTACATTGGTTTATTGGGAGAATCATGTAACCTCTTAATAATTAAATATTTAATTAATAGTCCAAAGGACACGTTGATTTAACAGTTTTAGATAAAGTAATCATATTCCTGTCTTACTGCAGTCACATTTCGTTAAATATTTTAGTCGTAAGGAGTTTTTGGAATATTAACTTTCGAACTCTATGGGATATTTTTAGGTGATATGCAGTTGAAATACCAATAATTTTCAAACAGAACCCATATATAACCGATATTTTCCACAAGTCGCGTGTTATCGTAGGGCAGACCTCATTTATTTTTACCGCGATACGTCTAGTAGGTACGTCTACATCGTTACCGGTAACCGCTCAACTCGGCGTAACCCTCAAACCGAGTAAGGGACGGAACACGGAAGATAACCGCCCTATCTAGATAGGTAAGTACCTATATATATTTAGCGCTCATACTATCGATAATAGAGGTCTCGTCTTTGTGAAGGAGAAAGGCATCACATATCTACATGTTACGATAACCCAAAACTATCCTTTCCTACCTAGGACTTCAACTACAACAGCCACGATTGTCCACAGCTGGACATAGACCTCCCCCTATTGCATTGGACGGAGGGTGCAGTGAAAGATTGCATTTTTTAGGGCACGTTGCTGCCCATTCCCTAGAGGAATTTCATACCTGGTCTCTTTTTCCACGGTTAGAATTGGGATGATGGTATTCAAAACCAAAATAACACCTACTAACCCTTATTTTATTTAACTACCAAATGGCAGTAACGAATAAAAAAATACAACGAATACGTGAAATTTTTAACTAACAAAGCCCGAAACAGGAAATGCCGGTTCAAAGCTTTCGATAACGACAATTACGATTTTCACGATACACTATTTGGGTAAAATGCTGCACGAACAAAGCTCCCGTTTATATCAGAGGGATGATAAAGGTAAAATAAAAATAGGTATCTAACAAAAATGGTTAGTTAGAGTACGTAGGGGAAAAGGAGGAGAAATGGTATAGTTAAGTTTTCTGAGGTAAGATGAATACTTCTTTGAGAATCTTTATCATGCAAGTAGCAAATGAGAATAATTTCTAACGACATTGCAGTAAAGCCGTTGTTTTTCTCAGGTCGCGTATGCCGAAACCGTGTGCTTATGCCAGCCACATATATATTAACTTTATTCTAATTACAGTACACTTCGATACAAAAAGTCAGAAGAAAACTTTGTCAGATAGTTAGTTTGCCTGTCGGAGCGGCAGACATTTTCAGTAAAGCTAGCGGGAGTAGGTGGACAGTTCTCAAAAAATTGGCCGCAAGATTTCATTTTTGCATGTTTTCAAAAGTTCGTGTTTTCGCGAAAAAAAATATCTTGCTAGCTAGATTAATGGTTATTTATTACATATTTAGTGGAGGGAAGCAATTTTTTTCATTACTTCAGGAAATATGGGCAATCTAAATTACGAGGGGGGCAGGTGAACGACAATGTCGCCAGGTTAAGGACAATAGGTGCAGGTTAACGACATTTTAGTACAAATTTACTAAGTAACGTCAGCAGGTTAACGACTACGGTACGGGCTGTAATTGCTCAGCAATAAAAACACAAAATACCTAATCATTTAGTAACTTAAATTCGTACAGCACACATATGAACATTTTTGCACTTCAACTAAATCAAACTTTTAATAAGTATTATAAGTTATCTCTATGAACAATTCAATGTTTTTTAGAAAAACCCTTCTAAAATTATTGTTTAATAAATTTAGGACTACTTTTATCAAATTAGTAAAATATTAAGCAATGAATTAGATCATTTATTTTATATTATTAATTACACATTTGTATGATAATTGTCGCTAACCTGCTATTTGGTCGTTCACCTGCATTTTTGTGACAGGTGAACGACCGGCAGGTTAATGACTAAATAGCAGATATTTCATCATCACAGGAAAACCATTTTGTGCAAGGATTGCTCACTTAGACACATTAAAGCAAACACTATTTTACACATTATAACTTGAAATGAGTGCAACGGGTTGCATAGTTTTTTACATAAAAGAGGCATAAAAACGACTACATACCCGTTACAAACTCCAGAATCCGATATATAGCTCGCCTTTTCTCCGGAAACTGAACAACTGACAAGGCCTTCTCTCAGCAGATGTTTGCTAGTGAATTGCTGGTTCAGGTGTTGCAGAGTGAGACGGGAGAGATGAAGTGGTACCCGCGGTACGATCGTGTTTTCACTTTTGCAGATTAACGACAAAATGTTCGTACAAAACTTTAAATTGTATTTTATGTTATGAATAATGAATATTAGGTTATAATATCGTGTGATTCTTCTCCTATGGATATACGTAAGTAGAAACGTTTGGTAGAATATTTTATTTTTGCACATTAATATATTTTTTCAATGCTTAAACATAAGCACATCGTGAAAAGACACGCAGGTTAGCGACCAAATATACGTAAAAATCAGTTTAAAAGTATATAATATACCTCGAGCGATATTATATACACATGGCCTTTGTGCAAGAACTGTGTTTAAAAACGAATATGGCAAAAGTTATCAGCTGGGTGCATAAATTTAAAAAATATTTGACGTAAACTGATGCACAGGTTGTGCGGCCAATTTTTTGAGAAATGGCCAGCTGTAAACGTTGATGGTGATATTCAAACCCATAATCATACAGAGCTGAATAAATGAATGAAAACAGGATTAAATAAAAACGGAATTATTTAAGACAGCATGTAAACTTTACAAGATGTTATTTAGATTATGTGTTCATCCTCCAAATTGCGAAGAAAAGTCAGTTGTTTATAGAATATTAGGTATGTACATAAGTTTACTTAAGTACTACTTAGGCACAAACTAGGCAGACGGCGCCCATTGTGACTTATGTATGGAAGATTTCATGACTTAGATTTGATAAATAATATCCCAGTTCATATTCTCAACAAAGGTAGTCAAGCGAAACAGCATAAAATGACGGGTGCTTATCTGCACCAGGTGCTGGGTTGTCCCAGTTAAAACTCCGCAGGGACTTTGGACATATTTATTGTCTCAGTTGTAAAAACCGTTTAATAACACTTACGAATACAGGCCGATAAAAAATATGATGAAAAATAATGATAGGTATTTCAAATAATAAGTCCCTCTCTCTCTTCATGTGGGACACCGAGACGTTCAAGACCCGATGAACCTGCTGCTTGTAGGTTGTTTACCGCCTACTACAAGTAGCAGACCTCTGACATGGTTGTGTAACGATCAAAACTGTCTAAGTAATCATAAACAGCAACCGGCGTTACGTGTCCTGCCCTCCGAAGCATGGAACCATCTTTCTTTCGGACAATCAGGGGGTTCGGCCAGCAATTTCCTTACTAGACTGGGAACTAACTCACAAAGTGATAAATTATCAATTTTGTGAGTGACCCACCGAGAATCAAACTCGAAATCTTCTGCGTCGCAGGCAGTCGCACTACCACTGCGTTATACCGGTCGTCAGCATATTTCCTCAAAAAAGTAGTCAAGCGAAACAGCATAAAATGACGGGTGCTTATCTGCAGCAGGTGCTGGGTTGTCCCAGTTAAAACTCCGCAGGGACTTTGGACATATTTATTGTCTCAGTTGTAAAAACCGTTTAAAAAGGTAATAAAAATTCGCTTTACATAAATCTTTTATTCAGATGTGTCGTATCGTATTATTATTACCGTGGAAGTTACGTGTAACAATACGTTTGCTATAAAAGTCACTTTACACGTTTATAGACTTAACTCCCATTGGAAAAGTCTTAGATCATAAGGCTACCAAACAATGTTTAGGAGCCCAAGGTAATAGTATACGTCCGATCGTAGCCTTATTTATGAGGTACTAGCAGCCCGCCCAGCGGTTTCACCCGCTGCTACTTACCTGTTTTCCCGTAGAAATTGGATCTTTGCCCGTAGTAAAAAGTCCATTACTCCGATCCAGCAGAGGTAAATGTGCGAGCAGAAGCGGCCTGTCATGCTGAATAACTTTTACTTTGAAGCCATGGCCGTATCTCTTATAGTTTTGATGGGATGCTGGTGGTCTTCATCAGGTACTCCAGATCCTCGATGACCATGGGCCAGAAGAAGCGGCCCGTCATGGTGAACAACTGGGATGCTGGTGGTCTTCATCAGGTGCTCCAGATCCTCGATGATCATGTGTCAGCAAAAGCGGCTCGTCATGGTTAACAACTTTGTCTATGAAGCCATTACCGTATCTCTTATAGTTTATATGGGATGCTGGTGGTCTACATAAAGTACTCCAGACTCCAGAAGCGGCCCGTCAAGATGCACAACTTTTTCTATGAAGCCATGGCTGTATCTCTTATAGTTTATATGGGATGCTGGTGGTCTTCATCAGGTACTCTAGATCCTCGATGACCATGTGTCAGCAGAAGCGGCCCGTCATGGTGAACAACTTTTTCTATGAAGCCATGACCGTATCTTTTATAGTTTAGATGGGATGCTGGTGGTCCTCATCAGGTACTCCAGATCCTCGAGGGCTGACAAAAAGTAATCCATGTCCTTCTTTACTATGCTAGTAATATCAGTGCCAAATTTCGCGAAGATCGGTAAAGCGGTCTGGCTTATTTGGGTAATATGAGCTGTATTTCCCGCTTTTCCTGCTGCTTACCGTTTTCCCGTGGAAATGAGGAATTTTCCCGTGGTAAAAAGTAGCCTATGTTACTCAGGAATGTTGTAGCTTTCTAATGGTAAAGGATTTTCGAAATCAGTCCAGTAGTTTCGGAGTTTATCGATTACATACATACAAAAAAACAAACAAACAAAAAAACAAACAAAGGTTTCCTCTTTATTATATTAGTGTAGAAGACGTTTTTAATGGGAGTTTAGTCTATTACCTACAAGATAATGTAAAGGGTGATGTTATTCTAACCCAGCAACATACTTATAGATGGACGACCAATAAGTCAAATGGTAGCTAAGCGTATTGATTTACTTTAATAAACCACCTACAAAAAAGCAGTCAAAAGTAGCACAAACGCCTAACTTTTCAGTTAACTGAGCTTAAAAAGTGTCCATTTGTTTTGTTTCCAATGGACGCTGAGAAGTTTGAAATCCGCACAGATCGGAAAACAAAAATGAAATACAAACAGAACAAGCCGAAATTAAAAAAATAAAAACCGACTGCAGTAATTTCAAAGTATATTTTACGTTTGAAATCCACAATTTTGATTCTATACCGGAAGTAACAATAAAGGGTAATACAAGCCGAAAGGAGGTGCAGGTACTCATGAAACTGAACAACTTTCCCCGTGGAACATAAGGTCGAAATGTGAAAAAAATTTGGATATCCCATATTAAAAGTCAGATGCTCGGCGAATCTGTATGTTACTATATAGCAAGTGTCACTTGCGCATGCTCTCGCTGCTAAAGCAAAACTAACGACTCCTCGCGATAATCTAACGATCTAACGATTTGTCAACATCCGTCAAGGCGTTTAGGCTGTAGCAAGTGAAAAAAAATCTTTTCCACAAGCACACACATAACCACAAACATACTTACTCTCGAATAACATAGCCCTCCTTCTGAGGCAGTCGGGTAAAAAGAGGAACGCTGTGAAATGAAGAGAACAATGCCTACGGAACAAGTTCGCCCGGAGGCCGGTTATCTGCTAGCAGTGTTTGTTTTCCGGCCTCGCTTTTCTACGATTTCACTAAAAGAAAAAACGGTTTTTCAACCAAACTTTTGAACTGAAAAAGCCGTTTAAAGTACCTTGTTTTGTTTTACTCAGTAGCTTGGGTAAGCATCGCAAGTTTTGTTAGTAGATACAAAATATAGGGTGAAATTTTACTAATGACCGATAGCGAAAACTCTGAACCGGCTGAGGATAAGGAACAACTTTCTTCAAGGAACATAGGTCGAAATACGAAAAAAAAGTGAACCTCCCATACAAAATTGCAAGCAGCTGATTTAAATTACTATGGGAGGTCCAAATATTTTTTTCATACATCGACCTATGATCTTCGGGGAAAGTTGTTTCCAGTCGGTACTGAGTTTTACCTATCGGTCATTAGTAAAATTTCACCCTTTATAACAACTAGTACAAACTTGGATGAAAAAGTAAATTTTAATGAAAAACCAAAATATTTTTAACTATGGTAACGTCGGAAAAAAGTCTAAACGTACTTTTTTTTATCTAAAATTATAAATTCATTATTCAAATGCGTTGATGTTTAGATTTAAGTGGAAAACGGCCGGTCTAAGCAGGCCAGGTCCACTTGTTACAGCGACCGCAGGCCGCAAGCCGGCTGAAACTACCGGACTCTTGACTAATGGCCTTTCTGCGTACACCGCACCGCAACATGTTTTACGAATTGTACGAAATGTCGCCTGATAAGTTGATGTGAGTTCTTCTGTGGGACAACGAGTCGACGAACGACCCAATTAATAGTGTCTGATAAGTCATCTGTCTGTATCACCGAATCGTGCATGACGTGGCGGGCTACGTTACGTTTGACATCGTAGCTATCCTGCTACGAGCCGTAGCCATCCTGCTACGAGCCGTAGCCATCCTGCTACGTTTCGTAGTTACGTAGTATCGGTATAGCACTATCGGTAATCATCGGATCAATAATTCGTTGCATCGGATACTGACTCTTGACCACTTGACTAATGGCCATTCTGCGTACCTACACCGCACCGCAACATGTTTTACGAATTGTACGAAATGTCGCCTGATAAGTTGATGCGAGTTTTCTGTGGGACACCGAGTCGACGAACGACCCAATTAATGGTGTCTGATGAGGTGAGTGCTCTGTCTGTATCACCGAATCGTGCATGACGTGGGCTACGTTACGTTTGACATCGTAGCTATCCTGCTACGAGCCGTAGCCATCCTGCTACGTTTCGTAGTTACGTACAACACAGGCATCTGTCAAACAAGTAATCGTTGGAGACAAGAGACTTGCGACATCGTGACGCTTGAAACCATTTCCATATAAAATATATGAAACAGAACATAAAAAGCTACACATGAGACGCGCGTTGCATCGATAACGTCTGACAGTTGTGCGTCGCCTCGCGCGTCTTTTCTGTGTAGCTTGCCCCGTAGCTATCCTGCTACGAGGCGTAGCCATCAAGCTACGGATTGTAGTCATCCTGCTACGTTAGTCCATAAAAGGACTCATGACCACTCTAATATACGCGGTAACATGTGCCTCTATAATGCATATTTATATTGTTTGTATGTCATTTCACTACACAGAGCCAGATAGACAGTATAAAGCTAAATAGCTAGAGACATTTTAATCCTAACCAGGCTGAAATACACGAATATAAATTAGAGCGTAATGCCCCCTGACCACTCGCAATTTGCGTCAAATGGGTTGTTTAGAATATTCACGAAATTATTTCACGTTATTATTGTTGAATCAGTACCTGCCACGATTATTCGAATAACAATCTGAGGCACCAATATACAGGGAAGATTAAACAGGGACATTAACATACAAATTTTTTATCCCTTATATTAAAAGGTATCCGAATCACCCACAACCACATGTATGTTCCGCGATGTTTGTATGTTGTAGTTGCCGTATCATTTTATTTCGTAGTTATGAATTTATTTAGAGCTTTGTTCTGACAAAAAGTAAAGGCTTGGAGTAAGGTCTATGAAAAAGATTATATCAACGAAAGATACATACATAATTGTTAAAAAAAGTGATTTTACCAAAATAATGTAACTAATACAGACGTAACCATATCTCTGAACAATGAATTCAGCAGGCAAATACCACAACACAACCATACGTTGATATGAGTTCGCTCTTTAAGCTAATGGTAACGGGTTCTCGTAAAGCAGACCGTTTAGGGCCACAGTATAACATTGGACGTACGTTCGAGCACTTTTCAATGCCTAATACTCCAGAGCTGAACTATATTACAATTTATATAAAGGAGATATTAGTTAGATTAGAATCTCGGAATGACAAAAGAGAAAGATCCTCATGCAAGCATGTAAGAAAAAAGTAATCCTACTAATCCTATCCTACTATATTATAAAGGCGGATGTTTGTGTGTGTGTGTATGTTACGACATCACGCAAAAACGGCTGATTAGATTGACATGAAACTTTGCAGAAATATAAAAGGGCATCTGGAATAACACATAGGATACTTTTTACCACGGAAATGTTTCCCATTCCCACGGGATCACGCATTTTCCAATATTTTTGAAATAGGTGGCGTGACTGAGCCGATTCGCATTTAAACGTTTTCGCCAAAAACTAACAGCGACATCTCTTGGCGAATAATGCCGAATAAAAAAAATAAAAAAATTTCCCGCGGAATAATAGGTTGCAGCGGGTGAAACCGCTGACGGGCAGCTAGTGAACATATAAATGTGGATGGAAGCAGAAGAAGAGAAGGCCTAAAAATGTTTGGATGGACTGTACAAAAGACGACATGAAAGAAAAAGGCGTAAGTAAGGATTTGACTTTTTAAAGAGATGAATGG